ATTAGCTAGCAGTTTTTCTATCATACCCGCAAAAACTTCAAAGCAAGCATTGTCATTTTCATATTCATTTTCAGTAGGTTGAGTAGGTTGAGGAGCAACTCTTTGCTCTACTGGTCGGGGTGAAGATACCCCGAACAAGCCCCTCAGAGGATTACTTTCCATAGTAACAAGTGACAGTAAATTTCAGCACACTATATAAATTTTTCCTTACCAAATTCCACCTAACAAAGACGCTTCACTCCCCGGCAATGGCGCCAGAAAAGAGTCTTGATGACCCACAAGTATAGGGGATCTATCGTAGTCCTTTCGATAAGTAAGAGTGTCGAACCCAACGAGGAGCAGAAGGAAATGATAAGCGGTTTCCAGCAAGGTATTCTCTGTAAGTACTGAAATAAGTGGTAACAGATAGTTTTGTGATAGGATAATTTGTAACGAGCAACAAGTAACAAAAGTAAATAAAGTGCAGCAAGGTGGCCCAATCCTTTTGTAGAAAATGACAAGCCTGGACAAACTCTTATATGATGTAAAGCGCTCCCGAGGACACATGGAAATATCATCAAGCTAGTTTTCATCACGCTCATAAGATTCGCGTTCGATACTTTGATAATTTGGTATGTGGGTGGACCGGTGCTTGGGTGCTGCCCTTACTTGGACAAGCATCCCACTTATGATTAACCTCTATTGCAAGTATCCGCAACTACAAAAAAGTATTAAGGTAAACCTAACCATAGCATGAAACATATGGATCCAAATCAGCCCCTTACGAAGCAACGCATAAACTAGGGTTTAAGCTTCTGTCACTCTAGCAACCCATCATCTACTTATTACTCCCCAATGCCTTCCTCTAGGCCCAAACAATGGTGAAGTGTCATGTAGTCGACGTTCACATAACACCACTAGAGGAGAGACGACATACATCTCATCAAAATATCGAACGAATACCAAATTCACATGACTACTAATAGCAAGACTTCTCCCATGTCCTCAGGAACAAAAGTAACTACTCACAAAGCATAAACATGTTCATAATCATAGGTGTATTAATATGCATATAGGATCTGAACATATGATCTTCCACCAATTAAACCAACTAGCATCAACTACAAGGAGTAATTAACACTACTAGCAACCTACTAGCACCAATCCCGGAATTGGAGACAAGAATTGGATACAAGAGATGAACTAGGGTTTTGAGATGAGATGGTGCTGATGAAGATGTTGATGGAGATTGCCCTCTCCCGATGAGAGGAGCGTTGGTGATGACGATATCGATGATTTCCCCCTCCGGGAGGGAAGTTTCCCCGGTAGAACAGCTCCGCCAGAGCCCTAGATTGGTTCCACTAAGGTTCCGCCTCGTGGCGGCGGAGTTGCGTCCGCGAAGATTGCTTATCATTTTTTCTCCATCGAAACACTCCATATAGCAGAAGATGGCCATGGAGGGCCACCAGGGGGCCCACGAGGTAGGGGGCGCGCCCAGGGGGGTAGGGCGCGCCCCCACCCTCGTGGGCAGGGTGTGGCCCCCCTGGTGAGTTTCTTCCGCTGAGTATTTTTTATATATTTGGAAAACATCATCCGTGAAGCTTCAGGACTTTTGGAGTTGTGCAGAATAGGTCTCTAATATTTGCTCCTTTTCCAGTCCCGAATCCCACCTACCGGCATTCTCCCTCTTTATGTGAACCTTGTAAAATAAGATAGAATAGGCATAAGTATTGTGACACAATGTGTAATAACAGCCCATAATGCAATAAATATTGATATAAAAGCATGATGCAAAATGGACGTATCATGAATCATAGCATCTGCTTGCCCAGGCCAACGCGTTGCATCGAGGCGAGGCGACGGCGAGGCGACGGAGGAGGAGGAGCGCGCATGTCTTCCCAAGCTCCCAATGGCATGTGGTACAATAGCCCTTATAAAGAAGTCTCGCTCTTCTTAGTGTACCAGTATGGTACTAAACTTCTCACCACTTGTCATGCATCTAAATAGGCCTTAGAGATTAATTAAGGATTATTATCTTATAGGGACCAAAGTTCATCTATAATCCAACACTTTACAGAGCTCTAAACCTACCCCATTGCGTATATATAGAAGTACATGATCATCTTGAAGTATAAGCTAAAGTGGAATAAATCCTACGCTATCCTATGTTTTCTAAATAAACATTATACTCAACAAGATTAACCAGGGATTATTGTATTATATGGGCCAAAGCCCATCTATAATGCAACACTTTACAAAGCTCTACACCTACCCCATTGCGTCGAGACACAAGCTTAGAACTTGCTACACATAATTAAATAATCTTTTTTTAAATGGAGGAGGACCCCAAGCCTCTGCATCTGGATGATATATGCAACCACTTTATTAATTATTCACACAAGATCTTACAAAGTCATACAACAGTAAGACTAAAGCCACCGTCTAGGCAACATTTGTCGCTATTCCTATCTAGTTGATGTAGGGATGTTGATAGTTTGGGCCTAATACCAAACAGACCTCGCAGCCAAACCTAACATCTAAGACCTGAGATCCCAACCCGGACGCCTGCCGGGTATGGGGCACCCACCAGTCCGGCGTACTCCTCAACCAGGACGCCTGCCGGGTATGAGGCCGCCGCAGCCACCTGCCACCAATCCATCGTCAGTGTTGCACTGTTGCATCTATCTTGCCCGATCTAGCTGCCGTCGACGCCACCACGACGCCAGACAACTCCACCATCCTACGCTCGTCCATCATCACATACCCACCGGTGAGACCCCGCTGCTCCATGCCGCTGAGACCCGCCGTTGTCGACATGCCAGATGCCACGCCACTCCTCCGACGCGAAACACCACCTGCTGCCTCTGGTCCCATCCCCTCCGCCTGCAGTTCCTTAAACCGAGGACCCAAACGCCCCAGGCGGCGCCTCCAAGAAGGGTACGACACAACAGTGCCGCCGCCCAATCTAAGGAGATTTAGGGTTTTCACCCGGGCATGGGGTCGGGTGGAGGGCAGGGACCTCGACGGCGCCTGCAAGTAGGAGAACGACGACCCTGGTTGTCGCCACCGTCGGGATGAACGAGTCATCCAGAGTTTCCTCTGGTCCGATGTCACCTCTACCAGCCCCCGCGAATGCACCGAGGCCGACGGCCGCGATCGTAAGCCATCAAGTGCAGTGGGAGAGAGCCTGCAGCGCGGAGGAGATCCACTGGCGACTCACCGCCCACGCGGTCAAGACGTCGTCCATCCACCCCGCGCGAACGTCGCTAGCCGAGGGCGTCGTCGCCATGCCTACCGGGGCCGCCGCCGCTGGTCCAGGTTCCTCCACGAAGGCTGGAGAGGCGAGATCCACCGCGAGCGACGAGATCCGGCACCGCGCGGCCAACACCATCGCCCAAGCCCGCCATCGACCGATCCCGCCGCCACCAGGAGCCGCACGCTGCCGGGAGTCCCACACCCATGGATCTGGGCATCCGTGCACCGCCGCGTGTCCGCCACATCGTCGGGAGGGCCGCACCCCGCGGATTAGGATGCCCGCACCTCCGCGAATCTGGGAACGGGAGGAGAGACCCTCCGCCGCCGCCGTTGCACGCACGGGCTTTGCCCGACACCGACCATCGGCAGCGGCGGAGAGGGAGAAAGGCGCTGGAGGGACTAGGCGGCGGCGGCGGAGGAGCCCTCCCGAGTCGCCTGCGGGGGAGGCAGATATATTTCATATGTTGACCTACCAGTTACGTTGACGCCCTAATCAAAGAATCTGACAACGAGCAAACACGTCCTAACCACATGCTCTCCTACTCTATATACTTCAATCACTGAGACAAGCCGGCAGAGGACAAGTTTGCTGTATATATAACACGTAGTCTACTGACTATTAGTGACAAGTAGTCTGTAACTTGTCTGATTGTCTTACCAGTCTGTAACAATGGTCCTGAGCTGGCCCTTTCCTTACCTGCTTCGATGGATCAACCAACACCCAGATCTCAATCATCCACGACATGACCAGCCTTTTGCTAAAATAATGAGAATCAAAGCAATAGGATTGGTGAGAGAGAGTCTATGAGGCCAATCATTAAAGGTAGAGGAACACACACAGGGGAAAATAAAAGTTAAGGGCAGGGGCATCGGATCCGAGTAAATTCAGAAGAAACAACAGCCATCTTTACCATGCATGTTCCTCCTCCTCCATCCATCTATCCATCGAGATCTCGCACCATCTCACGTGGGCAAAGGTAGGCGAGGGTGAAGTTTCGCTTGCGGCTTCGATGAGATTCTGCATGCCCCAAGTAATCATGCATGTGCTCTGGACGAGTCATCTGCTACTGAGTACTTCTACTGACTACTACTGACCCTGACGTGAAAGTAGACAGCACCGACATGCTACGCTGCTGTCATCGGTCCTGGAAATACTTCTGGAATGGAGGGCACTTTGTGGATTTTGTTGTGGGCTCGCTCAACCGACCGACAGAGGGCTCAGCGGGGGGCAGGCAGGCCCCGACTCAAATTTCTAAAATGCTTTTGACGCTCAAGGGAAATATATAAATTCTTCAGATTCGCACACACAGTAAAATCTCCAATCAAACTTTCAGCCCCACTCACAAAATTTGTCGGACCACCACTGTGTGGGCATGTACTCGTAACGTAGTGGGCGATGGCAGGCTAATTGGCAAATAATGCTAGAAGAGAACGAATAGATGAAGAAAGACAGAACCAAGAGCCTTTTCAATCACTGAATCACACTTTATTGAATTATATGATCTATGGCAATTCACAGAGCAGAAACAGATAAATAAACTATATAAAACTAACCGATTATAGCCTGGTCGTCCAACTACGCAAACTCCATGACACGTCTAACAGGGAAGAAGATGAATTCCTATGATACAGATTGAATTGCTCAAGTAAAAAGACTTCACCTTCGATATCTATACTGCACTATTTGGCCTTGCTGGCTTATTCTGTGAAGTACAAACTCCAAACTACACAGATCAAACACAAAGTATCACAACAGCAGCTCCTGGTCACTTCACGGATTGTAAATGCAAATCACTGTCACGTTTCCTCTTCAGCGGCAGCAACCTCGTCGACACCTTAGCGGGCTGCTGTTTCTTCTTCACCCATTCTTCTTCGGCTTTGGCCCGGCGCCAGCCCAGATGCGCCGACAGGTTCTCCACCTCCACCTTCACCACGTCCTTCCTCACCCCAATGTCGGTGATGTACCTGCCGGCGCAGTACATCCCCGCCGTGACGGCGGCCATGCCCAGCGGGCCGGCCGACATGAGCCTGAACGGAGTCGAGAAGAGCGCCGCCAGCGGCACGCCGACGGCGGAGGCCGCCTGGCCGCTCCTCCCGATGCCCTTCTCGGGCGGCAGCAGGAGCCCGGTCTTGCAGTAGAGCGCGAAGTCCTCGCAGTTGTTCTCGAACACGTCGTAGCTGCCGAACCCGTTCTGGAGCAGGTACATCGCCCGGTGCACCACGGCATCCGCCGGGTCGGACGCGGCGGTGGTGCAGGTGCCGCCCCGGAGCTTGGCGAGGAACACGGCGGGAGGGACGCCGTACTCGAAGCCGTGGAGGGCGCCGTCGCGGAGGAAGCAGTCGAGGCAGGTGAGGATGACACCGCTGTCGGGGAGCTGGAAGCCGCAGTCCGGGAACGTGGGGCACTCCGGTGAGCCGGCCGATAAGAGGCTCGAGATAGCCACGGCGGAGTCAAGGCCCCCCGTTCCCGCTTCTTTCTTCGTTGTGAAATGCACCACCTTGCTTCCGCCGACGTAAATACCTGAAGACATTGAGTATGACATCCAATTCGAGATAGAATAAAATCACTGATCAGTGACCATAGTACTACACACATACATTTTCTATTATTTTTTTTTTTGCTTTTTATCTTAATTCCTTATTGAATGGCTACAAATGAATGCCAGCTTTTTTATGCAGGTTTGTCATGTGGGGAGTGCCCCCGTGTCCCCATGTATGTCCTCCTTGGGTTGGGTACATATGTCGAAGCAGGACCTCTGTATAATTGGCACATAGCAGCAGGGAACGATGGCTGCAAATGCAAGGGAAAAAGTACCATGATGTCCCTGCATGCAGCCAGCGCATAGCGACGCCACGAAGAAGATACCTTTATGTTTCCAAGTGGGGATTAAATTACGGCTGGCCAAAGAAGGAAAAAAACGGAAAAGGATGCAAAGTAAAAGAGCCATGGTAACGCAGCAGCTAGCTGGAAGAAGAAGAAGAAGAAGAAGAAGAAGATGCATGAAGGCATCAAAGTGGAAAGAGGGCCACTTTGGTCACATGTAATAAAGGTAAGTAAATGGATGCTAAGATCGACACTTGAACACTGGAAAATTACACATGTGGAGTCACCAACAGTTTCTGTTCGATCATCAGTCACCAACAGTAGGTCTAGGTAACAGTTCTGAGTTATAGTTGCACTAAAGAAAGAGAATTGTAGAGTAGGTGAGCTAGTAGCATTAATTTTCTTTTCACAGCGTGGCATATCGAGTCCATTTGGATCGTCAAATTCTGTCAGTGTCTGATCTAAAATACTTCCCAGTGGCTATTATCTTTTCTGTCAAATCACGTTGCGAAGTTGCAAACTGAAGCAAGATCCGCTTCGACAATTGTACTGCTACTACTAGTTCGGTCAATAAATTTGGGACCTGGATACAATACAGCTAGACAGCTAGCAACGCCAATCAAGGATGCAGCAAATTCGACGGGACCCAGAAGCGTACCGACGGAAATACGCGTCCGCTATTAGGGAAGCCGACGAGGACGCCGAGCCTACAGTACGGTTCAGCTGCTGCAAATACACCCAGCGTAATTAACTGCGAGAATCTGCTCGCGGATGTACGTACGGAGCGGAAGCAGAGGCAGAGTACGAACAGAGCAGAACGAGCAAGGCAAAACCGATGTGGAAGCAACACTCCATTCCCTCCACCTCCAGGTCCGAGAACGAGCAAGGCAGAACAGAGCAGTACGGTTAAACTGCTGCAAATACACCCAGCGTAATTAACTGCGAGAATCTGCTCGCGGACGTACGTACGGAGGGAATGGAGGCAGAGGCAGAGCACGAGCAGGGCAGAACGAGCAAGGCAAAACCGATGTCGAAGCAACACTCCTCTCTCCGCCGTACCGTAGCCGCCCGGAAACGCGAAATGGGAGAGAAGGATGGCGGCCCCAACATGCAATTCACACGTACCGTGGTGGGAGTAGGAGTAGGCGGCGCGCCATGTGTAGATGTGGTCGCTGGGCTTTAGCTCCGACCGCTCCACCCGGTGCGACAGCAGCCCCATCGCTCGCCCCGTTCGTTCCGGCAGTGTGTGCGCACGCTCGCGCCGGGATTACGGGCGTGCTGCTTCTGGCCGGCGCCGCGCTGGAGCTGGCGAGGCGCGCCGTGGCACCGAGTGATGCGAGGAAGACGCTGGCTCTCGGCTCCGCCTGAGGCTACTGGCTGGCCAGGAGGGGGAGGTCACGCTTGCCGCGCGATGGCTGGAGGGAGAGGTGAAATGGGAAGCGTGGGATTGAGCTAGCTATCTTGACACCCGGGGGCATCGGCATGTGTGTGTGATCCGGGGTGCAGCCCTCGGGATTCGTGCGCGATCTCGGAGGTTGGGTGTACTGTCCTACGTGCCCTTCTTTTCACTCAACCAAGTATTTTGTTTTCCCAATTGACTGCTCTTTCTCTATAGCATGTAAATGAACGATGCTACACTTATACCTGGCCATGGGCAGCCCAGCCCAGTCGCCTGACCCGGCCCGACGTTCCTCACGGGCCGGGCCTGGGCCTAGATATTGAGCCCGAAGGCTGGGCCGGGCCTGGCCTGGGCCCATCACATTTGCGAGTTAACGAAGGGGCCCGGCCCAAGGCCGGGCGGGCTTTTAAGTTTACGCGCCGGGCTTGGGCCTGATTTCTAGGCCCGACGCCCCGATCGGGGCGGGCCCGGGCCTGGGATTTCTACGTCGGGCTTGGTCAGGCTCGGCCCGAGGGGTGGCCAGGTATAACTTGCACGCAGGTTTTTACGGATGAGAGCTTACAGATGGCGGTGGGATCATTAGATTGGGGAGGCGAGGGCCGCACCTCTGAAATTGGGAAGGAAGGGATAAATTAGACGCTGCCACTTATATAAAGTTATAACGCTGAATAAAGCTGAGGAAGCTCCACCCACCCGCCCGACTCCCCGCCGACTGTTGCCGCCGGTCATCACCCCCGCCCTGCTAGCAAGCTTGTCGGTTGGTCTAGTGCGTGGCTCTGCTCGAGAGGCACGGACGTTCCTATCGGGATTGGGTTAGGGATTATTTTGACCCCCAATCCAAGCCTGGATCAGGATGTGTCGGTGGTAAAATCGGCAGACCTCGGGGTAGGGGGTCCCGAGCAGTGGATCTCGGATTGATAGTAACAGGGACGAAGGAGACAGTGTTTACCCAGGTTCAGGTCGTCTCAAAGAGATAATACCCCACGTCCTGCTTTGATTGTATTGATGATGATGTATTGGGTACAAGCTTGATCTACCTCGAGATCGTAAGGAGAGACCAAATTCTAGGGCTAGATGAATGTAATTGTGTTGAAGTCCCCTCTACAGGCTAAAGTCTTTGGCTTAGATACACGCCGGGTAGGGCATCTAGGGTTACATGGTCAGTATCCACGGGAAAGCATGGAGGTGGCAGGAGATGTCTTGGAGTATATGCCAAGTCTTCGGTAGATGCAGTCTTGATCACGTCCAGACATGTAGCTTTTGGGGTCCATCCGATGGAGAATGAGGGCCCACATGCCCAGCCCGAGGACTACGGGCCAACTAGGTTGGCACCCCCTGGTCGAGGACATCGTCACTAGCCCATGAACTGGTCTTCTATGCCGAGGACGACCTCTTCAATTGTAACAACTTCGGATCCGAAGTCCTTGGCTCGACAAACAAGTTCCCCCTTTCTGATATTCCGAGAATCTTTCCTTTTAAAGCCGACATGTACCACTCCTCGAAGGAATGGCGTCCCCAAACAGGATCTAACCGAACCCACTCAGCGCCCGAAGACGCGAGGTTACTTAGGCTTGAAGGCCTACCATGTAGGTGTAAACAATGTTTCTAGCCTGACAACTTTATCGAAGCGGCACCACCCATGACTGGGCTGGTAGTTAGTGCTCACCTGAATCGTGGCCCGAGGCAATCCTCTTATTGGCATGTCCCATCATAATGAAGATTGTGTCCGTTTTCTAAGGGATATCATTAAGATTTTGTTACTCCCTATACATGTAACAACATCTTCTACGGGTAGTGGCGATTTCAACGGCGTGGCAGGAGGGACTCTTGTTCTTTTACCATCCTATATAAGAGCAAAAAGGCTAGCGACGGGAAAGGTACGCTCCCATTCCTTCCTACTTGCTGCCTCTCAAGCTCCAGCGCCCAGATCCCATCCCGAATTCACCTTGCCTCTGCAGCGCTCCTCCGCCTCGACCCCTAGCCATGGAGGATGCCAACCTCAAGGACCACTGGGCCGACTCCTCCGTCACAGAGGGCACCATCCTAGAGTTGCGCAGTGTGGGGTACATCCCCACTGAGTTCAACACCCGCGTGTCAGATCCACAGCAGCAAGTACCTACTCCCAACCCTAGGGAGAGGGTAGTCTTTGTCCCCCACCTCATAAGAGATCTGAGGTTCCCGCTGCACCCTTTCGTGCACGGGATCATGTTTTACTATGTGCTAGATTTCCACCACCTAGCCCCAAATTCCATTCTCCACCTCGCATCCTTCATCATGATCTGCGAGGCCTTCCTCTGCATCGAGCCGCATTTCGGATTGTGGCTGAAGATCTTCGGCATCAAGCCGAAGTCCAGCGACTCAGAGCTCACAGAGTGCTAGGGCGCGATGATTGGCAAGAACCAGAAGGTGGGTTGGTTCAAGGGCACCTTCATGGAGACCATTAATGAGTGGCAGCGCGAGTGGTTTTACATCACTAAGTCACTCACTTCTGGCCAGGCCGAGGTCTCGACATTTTTGGCTGGGCCTCCGAAGAAGCTTGTATCCTTGAAGAAGGGCATGGACTGGGGGAACCCAGAGGAGGTGAAGGTGTTGTCCCAAAAGATCCAGTTCTGGACAGACTAGAAGAACCTCCAACTAGTGGACGTGGTAAAGGTCATGCTCCACCGCCGTGTCCTGCCACTCCAATCTCAGGCTACCCCAATGTGGGCGTATAAGCCCGAGGTTGCGGTGCCCATCCACCACTTCCTCCATTCCACCTTGGCTGGAATGTGGATGTTGTTATTCAAGCCATCCCAGAACGATCTTCCTCTGGAAGGGAGGGACCTCGGCTTCGAAGCCGGTCACGACGCCCCCGAGGTAATTTTAAATACACGGCTTTATACTCCATGTTTCTTTGAATCTTATAGACTTCGGCTAATCAATTGATCTCATATTTGCAGAAGTGGATGTCCAAGGCGCAGCAAATGTTGTGCCCAGTGCCGCAGCCCAGGGGGAGAGGACTCCCCTAGTCACGACCTACTTGAGACGCACGTGGTGATCCCCAAGGGGTCAAAACCTCCAAGGGGCAGGGCGAGCCTCCGGGCACAGGAGACCTCGGTTACCCGATACGAGGAGACCCATGCCTCCTCCGCCCATGAGGATGACGCGGAGGAGGACAAGGGGGAAGGGAACCCCTCCCTTAAGGGGAAGAGGGCGGCGTCCGAGGACACCGAGGCGGAACCACGGCAGAAAGGCCAGAAGAGGTTGCGTAAGGCTTCCGCCGAGCCGGCCAGTAAGCCTGCTCTACCAAAGAAGGCTAACTTCTTCGACGCCATATGATGACCTCCTCGAGTTGGGGAGGACGAAGCCAACACCTCGAAGGTACGTTTGTTGTAACCAGGTTTGGTCCTCAAAAAACCGTGTTCATCAATATAAGACTTATAACGGTTATTTCTCTAGTCCGTTGAAGGTGCACCTCAGCGGCGACACCTCAAGCGGGCTACCGATGGCCAGCAAGACGCTTGAACCCGCCACTTCCCCTCCAGCTCTCGAGGGGCTAGGGGAAGCAACATCTGGTCCAGCCCCCTAGTTAACAACACGGGGGCCGAGGTACGGCTCGTCATGGCTGAGGTCGAATCCTCGGCCAAACAGGGCCAAGGGGACGAGGTCCCCGAGTTCACCAAGGAAGGGATGGGCCAGACATCGGCCCAGCCAAGACTAACTTCGGCGCCAAGGCCACAGCTGGAGGCCTTTGTTCCCAGCACCTCGGTGTTGGGTTCAGAGTTTGTACCGCCTCCCGCCCTAGGGTGGGTTACCATGGGATGTGCCGAGGAGATGAGGTAGCCATAGCGGGTTCCTCCATCATGGGAGAGCACCACATGTTGATTGGTGCGGCGTTGCAGGTCTTTCGATCCGAAGGGGCCAAAATTCATGGGGTCTTCAAGGGCCTCATCAAGAGCTTCGAGGTATACTTCTTTATTTTTGTATTACGGATAACCTTCATGCTTGGAATTGCTCGCAAACACGTGCTTTTGTCCGAAGAAATTTTGCTTATCATAGTGTAGCACTTGTACAACATAGCCAATGAGTAGCTCCCGAGCCCAAAGCTAGTTTTGAGAAACTGGCTTTGCGGTCGAAGCAGGGCATCATAAGGCGTTTAGTAAGTAGCCCCCAAGACTCTGGTTGACCTTCAAAAGGTTTGTCCAGGATTGACATCGGGAACAGGGACTAAGTAGGGAGTGTGTGTTTGCAGGTATTGACCTCGGCTCCGAACTCTTCCTCCGAGGAGATTGCAGAGATGAACCGGAAGCTTAAGAGGTCCAAGAAGAGCTTCGATCTAATGCAGAAATGGATCGAATTGTCTCAAGGTAAGTGCAAGTGGTTGCAAAGTTTGTCAAGTTTACTCTGAAAATGCACATACATTTGTAATGTTGATGCCAAGCTATTTGTCCAGACAGTTGTTGTGACATAGCTTGAGGCGCTTAAGGCCGAGCTGGCGAATGCTCGAAGGAGTCCAAGCAGCAAAAGCTATAGCCACCAAGGCTGAGAAGGACCTAGCCATTGAAAAGGTGGCTAGGCATAAGGACCTGAAGGGCGTGTACCAGGAGCGCGGTGCCCTTTAGAACAAGGATAAAGGGGTGAGTGCAGAGCTCGAGAAGCTGCGCCTGGTGCATGCCGAGGTCCAGACCTAGGCCTAGGCAGACCGCAAAGTGCTCCAGCAAGTGGGGCAGATTTTTGCGGGTAAGCCGTTTTTCTTCATTGTGTTTTTGGCAGCAAGGG